CCTTGCAATCGAATTCTTATTTAGCCTTTATAATCTGTTCTAGTCCTGACATTCTAATCGTCTTCTAACCCTGACAATCTGACACTTGTCTAACCCTGACAATCTGACACTTCTCTAACCCTGACAATCTGACACTTCTCTAACCCTGACATTCTGACACTTCTCTAACCCTGACAATCTGAAACTTCTCTAACCCTGACAATCTGACACTTCTCTAACCCTGACATTCTGACACTTCTCTAACCCTGACATTCTGATACTTTGAGCCCCAACAATCCCTGACCATCCCCGCCAACGCAATTTGATACAGTTGGAACTTTAATGACTTTATCAAACTAATCGATCCAGCTCTATCTTGTGACCACGATATCGACCAGACTGAACAAAAGATGCGAAAATAATAAAAAAACAGGATTTATATTAAATAAAGAAACAAAACAAAAATTAACTCATTGTTCTGTTACACAAGTGTTTCAAGATTTTTAAAATTATTCTTTTTTTAAAACATTCCAAATGTTAAGCGACACGTTAAAAATAGTGAAACTTTGATCACAAAAGGTGAACAAATCTAAATGTAGCAATGAGGTCACGGCTGTATTGTGCAGGGGGGTGAATGATTACGTAATCAGGAGCGGATTCACTTCGGCTTCTGTTGACGTCTGTCTGCCCAAGTGAAGCTTCACATCTGAAAAAAAAAATCATTTGGCGGTAAAATTGGAATTTTCGCTCCGTTTTTTTTAACTCTCTTTTCGGTAAGATGTTTTTTTTTTTTTTTTCATAGCGAATTCAGTTTGTGGGAGATTACGTGGGTTGCAGAACTTGAATAGTGTCCAAAGTTCGAATAAAAACACGGCTGTTGTTTTTTTTTTTTATAAAGGGGAGATTATTTTCATTGGGGCGTCAATAATTAAAACTTACAATGAATTCATCGGTAAAAGATGGTTACGCAAAGGACAGTTTGAAATCAAATAAAAATTAGAACTATATAGATTAGAGACAGAGACAAACTAACACATTATTTTGAATAGTATGGGGTCTAAATAAGATGTTAGGTTATATCAGCCGGATTGTTACATTAATATATTTTAAAATTAGAAATTGCATTTGGTCCGCCATTCTATCACTCCTCCTTCACCCACTCAGTCCTTCCTCGCACTGCTCACCCTCCTCTCCCCCTACCCCAGCCCCCCCCCCTACACACCATAAACTTTTTTTTTTTTAAACTGGAGCTAAACTAAATCTAAGCTTTCCCCATTACTGTGGACAAAATGTTTATTTTGCGGGTGATAAGTGATAATTTATTCATGTAAACCTTGCAATTTTAATGAAATGTTATTTTTTTTTTAACTTTATTGAAAGTCGATATTTATTTTATGGCAAGCTGCTGAATCAAGCGCAGACAAATGCGTTCTTTTTTTTCTTCAGTTTAAAAAGTTCAGTTGTTTGACTAAAGCTAACTATCGAATCCAAAGTTGTTGATTTTTTTCCAAAAGACTTTATTTGACTCTAGTCTATGTGTGTGCATAAGTGCGTGTGTGTGTGTGTGTGTGCGTGTGTGTGTGCGTAAATATGAGTGTGCATGCATGTGCGTGTGTGACTCTACAAATCTTGGATTATTCATTTAACCCCCTTTCCATTTGTCCGATTGTGATGAAATTTGGCACAGTGCTAGATTTTGGATGACAATGCAAGAATATTGAATTTTAATCTAATTAAATTAAATAAGTAGTCATTAAATTTAATTTAAAGATTACAATATTCAACACTAAATGGAGGTAACAAGATTTTTAAAAACGCTAGCGATCGCTTGAACTATTTTAGTTCACGGTAGGCTGATTTAGTCGACCACAATACTAATTAGGGGCAGGTTACTGAATTTTAGAGGGTTTTTTTTTTACAAGCAACAGGCGGTTTTTAACGTAAAATTTTTTAGACGTAGGCTGTGTATTTAAAGAATAAGATTTTTTAATTATATTCGCAAATTTAAAAAAAAATCACAAATGAAAATGTCCTAAAAAGAAAAAAAATACTTTGGTGTAAAGCCATATGTTAGTATGGTATGACTAAAAATATATTACATTTTCAGGGGGGGGGGGGCGGACACTGATAAAAGTATACGTTTTCTATATAAATTTCATTTCGTTTGGGAGGGGGGCGGTAGAAGATATGCCTGGAAGAAACTCTGTTCTTAACTATGGACAGCTACACACTACTATACTAGCTACACACTAGGTGCCTACTGTAAACTACTAGACTGTAGGCCCTATGTAGACCTGCAATTGTATCAATTGTAGACTGGATCCATTGTTATTATTCATCTCAGTCTTATAATGTTTCTAGCTTGATTTGTTTCTTTTATAAACAGTGGATTAAAAAAAATTAGCCTAAGCATTAACCAAATAATAATAATGTGGTTATTTGTTGTTGGCTTGTATGATCTAGATTCTACTACTAGGCTACATAAACTTAGTAGACTAATTACTAGATATGCATTTTAATTTAATTAAACTCAGTCCAGTATCAGATACATATTGCTGTAAAATGACACAAAGTAGGTAGGCCTTAGTAATTTATTAAAGCCTTCTACTACAATAATATCAATTACATGCTTGTATAAAAATTTTAAAATTTAATTTAAGTAGCAGATTCTAGATCTAAGTCTAGTCATACAATCTATTTCAATTTCAGAAAATTTCGTTTGCTAAAAAAATGATTAGATTGTAGAGCGAGATTTTAGATCTTAGAGACAATTAAATGCTTTATTTATTAGGCCTACTATGACTACTTTTGATTTATTATGGGTGTATTTTGAATCGAATGTAGATCTAAATTTTGTCATTAAATTTAAGTAAAGAAGTAGATTCTAGATTCTATGTCTACCCAGCGGAGCCAGTCACCCTAAATCCAGAATCTAGATCTGTGGTCCGAATTTTGTTTACGCCATGTTTAGAGCTAGATTCTAGATCTAGATATTAAAATACTATTATTAGGCCTACTATTAGATCTTATTATTCTTATTATTAATTTTGACTTTGTCTTTTACTATTAGTATTTGTGAAGGTCGAGCATATTTGTTTTATTAATAGTTATCTTTTATAATTAAAATGAAGTTTATTATTTTACTATCCTTACCTGAAACAAAGTATCGAGGACTGTATTTGATCAGATTCGTCTACTTAAACTCTAAACGCAAACAACAGTATTACTAACAGTATTTTTATTTAGAAACGAGAAAAATAGCCCGTCGAGGAAGGATACACCGGGCGCTAGGCTGATAGTGCTGTCTCTTTTCTCTAAACTAAAACCACCCCCCCACACACACACACCACCCCCACCCCCCCCCCCCACACACACCCCACCCCCACCCCCACACCCCCCACCACCCCCCCACCCCCTAAAAACATGTATACCGTCCCATTCAACGAAATATAATTATATACTTTTTCCAGTGTCCGCCCCCTCCCCGAAAATTCTACCCCGCCCCCGAAAATTTCAAGTACCCCCACCCCTCTCCGGGGAGGAAAAAGTCTGAAAGAAACACTGGTCGCATTTGTAGATCATACAAACTAAAGGAAGAATCTGGGCGGGGCTCCGCCCCTACCGGAAGAGAGGAAAAAGTCTGAAAGAAACACTGGTGTCGCGCTTAGCCACTACGCGAAGAAATGCATTAAAGAAATTGCAAGAAAACCACTTTTTAGATTAGACACATTAATTAGGCGGTAATTTTATTATAGAGTATTGATGAGGAAATTTCTTTTGAGTTGGGGAGGGGGGGGGCTCAGACGTTATTACGCGGGGGTGGGGCTTCGCCCCTACCCGAAGCACTGTATGAAAGAAACTCTTCACGCAAACCACTTAGATTAGACAAAATTGCCTTTTTATTCAATGTTTACTCGAGAACCAATGACGTCATATTACTGTGTGCACTCTTTGGCTTGATATTATTTTCTACTATACGACGTCATACTTCGTTTTCGTTTCACTGTGCAAGTTTTTAATTTCCTTGTGTTTTCTCTAGAGCTTTCTTGTCAGATAGACAGACAGAGCGTTCTTGTCAGATAGATACACAGACAGCGAAACTATTAGTATTAATTTTGGCCACATATTTATATTATCTACGAAACTGTCAATAACAGTATAACTTAGGATCTTCAATTCCTAAGAGTTCAAGTTTTTTAACGTATTTTTCCTTTTCTACGGGTGCGGTTCTTTACATACAGTGAACGCGTCCAGCGCTGGTGAACAGCTGATTGTGTTTACGTCTGGTGTACACCACCGTGGCGGCGGACGTAGGTATCACGAACGGACGTGACGTCATATGAAAGGACTCTATAGGTTCACGCTCTACAACACGACAATCGTTAGGGGAAGTAATCACATAAAAATACCTGCGCCAATTTTGACGTGGTCTAACCTTAGTTATAGAAAAAAAAATATATGGTGCCTGGGTTTTTTATTTATATCGTGTAGGCTTTATCATGATAGCAAATTGTATTTTTTCCCAAGATTACGACATTTTTGAAAAAAAAAATTAGGCATATAAATATATTTCAAATATTAGAAATTAGAAATATTAGAAATATTATAAGATTCAGAAAAGAGCAACTATAGGCACCCCAGTTTTTCCTTAAGGAGGTTTATCAGTTAACAATGACACGTGTTTTAAACTATAATCACCTCTCCCTCCTCGTAGCTACATTTTTAAAAGCCAGATCCCCCCGCCCCCCCCCTCCCCCTCCCCCCCTCGACGTCACACCTTGGTCGACCGCCCTTCTTTAAAAAGAAATATCGGCAAAAATATAGATTCCAGATGTCTTCGTCATATTTTCTGAGCCTTCTTCTCTCAGAAAATCCGCCCCCCCCCCCCCCCCCCCACCTCCACAGTAGCAGTGTGACGTCGTTTATTGTAGATCACTGTAGCTGTAAGTTGCGTCTTCACGTGGGTTTTTAGTATACTCTCTGAAAAAGAAAGTTAAAATGACAATTTCTTGCTTCCGCTGTTAAAATATATTTTTAAATGTTGTGATTAGCGTTTAGAGACTGAAGGAATCACTTAAATTTGCTGCAATAGTAAGACGTGTGATCAAATTTTTAATCATTCATGTCAATGACTCTAGTCTATTAACTAGATCTAGATCTAGAATCTAGTCTTAGATTAGAATTTAGATTATTTTAGTTTAGATTTGAGATCGAGATCACCGCCTTTCCAGGCTTCAAGTCTCGCCAAGTCAAGTGCCACAAGCCACCACTGCGTAGTGTCAATTTTACTGTACTAGACTTCAGACTTAGATTCTAGATCTAATCTAGATCTAAAGACCTAGAATCTACTCCACAGCTTCATTTTTTAAATCTTAACAAAAAAAAAAAGGGGTAACTACAGAAAGTACAATGTAAAAATTAAAATTAAAATAGGCCTACCTGTCAAAAGTCACGTTAGACTAGTCTAAGTACTAGTAGTAGTACATACATTACGTAGGTCATAGATCTACCTACATAGATCTAGAGTACATATTACTAAAGTCACTTCAACTACACACTACACACATGGGTGTGGGGAAATGGCGAGGCGGGAAAATGCGAGAAGGGCGCGAAAATGGTCGGTCACGTGACTTTTTGTCTCGCATTTTACCACAACCCGATACTTACGCTGGGTGGTGTTGAAATGCGAAGATTTCTGCGAAAAATTTATCGCACCCGACTTTCAGTGGTATTTGGTCCAGATTTCAAAGACGTTTCGTTTACATTGTTAAAACTTCCGATTTTTCAGTCGCTAGACATACTGATGATTTGTCAACTCCCCCCATCTTTTGTGTCGACCTAGAATACCACCTTGTTCGAAACCGACGGAAATACCGCAGACGATAGATCAACTTCTTTCTTTTGTGTGGAACGCCGTGGCCGCCTGATTTACCGGCTTTGAAGATCACCGTGCCCGGATCCGCTGCCGCCGGAAACATATTTTCTATTGTTGCATAGAAATTTTGTATAAACATGAGCGGGCTAGATTTTTAAAATTAATGCCGACTGAGACAGGATTTTCCTCTCGCTAACGAGAGCGGGCGATGACAGTAGCACAGCAACGATGTTAGGATTTTTAAATAGATAGATCTAGATTTAGACCTATCTTCTTAGTATCTATCTATCTATATAATAAAATCTAGATAAAAAATAACAACATACAACACTCGTGTTAAAGGGTAAGGCTAAATGTTTGTTTATTTTAAAACAAAAAAAAATAATTTAAATAAATAAAGATGAAAAAAGCACGAAAAAAACTTTTTTTCCGCAAAAAGTGTCTCGCTATTTTCCCTTAATTCCGCAGGTATGTCTCGCATTATCTTTTCGCATTTTCCCGCCTAGCCATTTCGCTTTTCGTGTCTCGCAATCTCCCAACACCCTACACACATGCCTTTAAAAATTAAAAAAATTGTGCACAGATACTGACAGGTTTATTTAATCATCCTAGCTTTTTGTGTGTATTATACTTACAGTGTAACTATTGTGACTATACAGTACTATACACTGTATACTAGGTGGTCATCCATAAATGTCATCACGCTTCTTTTATGATTTTTACCTCCCTCCCCTCCGTCATACGTGGTCACAAAAAGCCAGAACCCCCCTAAAATGACGTCACACCTCAGCCTACACCCCCCCCCCCCCTCAAAATAGCTGTTGAATTTTTCTAAAAACATCAATATTTTTCCATAATCTTGTCAACATAGAGTATTTTGATCAATTCCTATTACAATTTATTAAAACCGTTTTCTAAAACGCAAAATTACGACAGACCCCCCCCCCCCCCCCTCCCCCCTACAAGTGTTACGTCATTTATGGACGACCCCTAGTCACTTAAATAGAAACTTTGTTGATTTTAAATTCTATTTGCCTTGACTATAAGGAATTTATAGAATTAATTTAATTTGATTTTTGTATATGATATCAGTACATAACAGTACAGTTGCATTCTTGTTCTCATAAATTCATATCAATTGTATTTTTGCTGACATATGCAGATATGGCCCTAACCTCAATTACATGATGTTTTTGCAGAAGTGTCCACATTTTTTACTGAAATAATTTTTGTAATAATTAGTTTATACTTGAACTTAGTGATTTTAAGTATGTAATCATACTTCTATTATATATCTAGTGATTTTCTATTAATCCCAGTTTAGAGTCTTGGAGTAATTTGCATTTTTTTATATGGTTTAAAAAATTATATCATAAAGAAATACTGACTGTTTGAATTGTTTTTATTTTTCAGATGATGTGAAAATGTAAAGAGCTGAGCTATAAGAATTTGTCACAATGAGAATCCCGAAGAAATGGTGTCGATGGCTGATGTGGTCATTTATTTTCTTACTTTTACTGCTTCTCTGGAGAGGAATACAACAATTATTTCAAGCTGATGATGATAATATTACCAGGGGAGATAACAGTATAGTAGACCACTGGGGCATAGATAACAATGACATCAACTGGTTGCCTGGCCTAGTACAAAGAAGATCAGAAGAGATCCCTGTGGTTGTGGTGGAAGAACACTATGAAGGTGAGTTACATGAGATCCCAAAAGTTTGTCATTGGTTAATGAAGATTTGTTCAAGTAATTTCAATCTCATGAATGACCTCTCTCATTTAGAGGAAGGGGGGGGGGGGTGTAAAAATGTTGTGACTATATCATAAAATGTGACATGGCATTATGTAAACATGTTAATTATTATATTATGAAAAGGAGGGGGGTAACTTTGTTATGTCATTTTAACAAGGGGTAATGATCTGGTGTCAGCTTACAAAATGTGACCCAGAATGTGTAATTTAGTAAGGAAATACAGTAAATGAAAAACAATGTCACAGATTTTCTTGTTTTTGGAATTAATGTTATAATTAATATAGCCTCTTTTTTTCATAGTGCTGAAATACTGGTTTCAAGCAGCAGACCTAGACCTCATCCCAAAGTCTAGAAATACCCTAGTAAGTTTTCTTTTAATTTATTGTCTTCACCATAATCTATATATATAATTCTCTTCATGGGGACCATACTAGACACCACCAAGTAAGGGCTTAGCTGTTCCCACCCCGCTCTCTAGGCTTATCGCTACCACCCACACCCCACCAGTGTGGTGAGCTGTAGTTCACAGACGCTTTCACTGGGGGTGGGGAGGAGGGGGGAGAGAGTGTAGTGTCAAATTCACAAATTATGTATTACTGAAAAATAACAAATAAAACAACTAATAGCTGTGTATGCTTACAGCGCGGGTTAGCTCATAGAGAATAATTAAACAAATGGTGTTTACAGTCAATTTGTATTTAAAAATTAAGGTATCTATTCAGGGAGATGAAGTAAAATTCATGTTTCTTTGACCTCATTATATTATACTACTGTTGGTCAGAAATATGCCTGGTTGTGATTACTTAGCAAATGTAAGTTAGGCCTTTCTATAAGAGCTGGGTGGATTTCAGGCATACCCTATAGCACGGGTTCCCAACCTGGGGGTCGCGACCCCCCTGGGGGTCGCGAAAGGCTTTCTGGGGGGTCGCCAACTGTTATACTAAACCTTAGTAATTTGAAACAAAACATAAATATTAAAAGAATTTTTGAAATTCGGCTTTACTAACATCACTGGAAAGGGAATAGAGAAGAAGCAAAGCGTACTGTACAAAGTTGTTCTCAGTCACGAGTTTATGAAATCTTCAAAACTAAAACGTCATTTGAGACGAGTCATTCGAAACACACCAAAAAATATATGGAGTTCTTTCGTCGGTATGAAGCCAGTTGCAAACGTCAGAGAACAGAACGTTTTCACCAAGAAAACACAGCATTAGTGCAAGCATCACATGAAGTCGCGACAGAAAATGCCAAGCAAAAAAAAAAAAAAAAAACAGATTAGGAGAAAATCTCATCAAACGCTGCGTGTTGAAGATGGTGAAGTTAATTCTTACATGTCCGTAGATGTTAAATAACAATTTTTTATTGAAATTAAGCTTTCACCATTGTTTGCTTTTCAAGTTGATAAATCAGCAGTCGTTAGTTCGTGTTCGCAGTTGCTAGTCTTTGTCTATATTCATTCAGATGATAGCAAAGAAGAGTTGCTCTTTTGTGAAGATAGCATGGAGAAAATAATTTTTTTTAAAAAATTGGATGATTAAAATGGGTTAAAACGGCTGTGAGGGTTTGTGCGGATGGTGCACCATCTATGTTTAGGTCAAAATCGGGCTTTCAGAAAGCAGAAAAGATTTCGCTCCCTAACCACTACCCTCACCAATCGCCATCAAGACTCCATTGCTGGTATAAGTGGTAAATTATATAAAATCTGGAGCCTTCAAAGAACTGAGCAAAAACATTAATATAGATCACAAGGTTCTGCTCTTTTACACTACAATGCGCTGGCTGTCAAACGAATTGTTATGAATCGTGTTTTTGAATTGAAATCTGAAATCAAATTGTTCTTGGAAATGCAAAGGAAACAAGACCTTTTGGTATACTTAAAACGACATAGAGTGGTTGGAGAGAGTATCATACCTAGCAGATGTGTTCGAACATCAACATAAGCATAACCTGAAGCTTCAGGGAAAACGAACGAATATTATCACTTTCCATGATTATCTCGGGGCATTTTATCAAAGCTGCAAAATCGGCAAAGAAAATAAATCTTGGAAATATTGTAAATTTGAGAAACTCTGCAGTGTGGTAGATGAATCTAACTGTGAGATAATTAAAATTTTGAAAGAAGAAATTTCTGGGCATCTTGAATCTCTTGAAAACGAACTGCAGCGCTATTTCTCTGTGCTGAAAAAAAAAGAATCTGCATTGACGCATTACCCATTCTCTTCTTCCCTTTGATTTGCAGAATGATTCCGAGTAAGATGAAAAACTGCAGACACAATTTTGGTGTAGTATTCACCATTCATACCCAAACGTAAAATTGATTGACTTTTCGAGAATAGATTTTCAACACTATTTTTCGATTAAAAACAAAATTAAGATAATGATAATGACATATGTTAGCGTTAACAAAAAAAATACTTTAAATTTTTTTTACCGCGAATGTTGAGTGAATAGTATGCAATTTTACTCATGGTATTAAAACAGTTATCAAGAGTAGTTCATATTGAAAGTCTACCAAAAAATCTTATTTTAGTGCTTATTGATTTCCATAATAATTTCGGCTTTTTAATTCTATGGGGGTCGCTGGTCACTTAATTTTTATAAAAGGGGGTCGCCACTCGAAAAAGGTTGGGAACCACTGCCCTATAGTATTTTAGAGTGATAATGACATTGATAAATCACAGTAAAACCTACTATCTTTAACATTTTTTACAGGTATGGTTGGTAATTTAGTTGATTTGTTGTGATTTTAAAGAAACATTCATCTTACACAACAAACATGAAAAAATATAAATTAAATTTTCAAATGTGGTATTCATTTTAATTTTAATACAGAACATTTTATTGTTTATTTTTATTTACCTCTATGGCTACACGCAATTACCTTAAAACACAACATGCACAACACATATCACACCATGTATATAATTCATTTAATTTCAATGCCATACACACCCAGGAGAAGATCATCAGTAAATGTATGATAAGAAAATTACCTCCATTTTGTTCAGCATTCATTTTTTTTCATCATATTTTTAAAACATCTTCCATGACTTATCTGTGCAGGTGCACATTGATGGCCATGTGGATGGTGCTCTCCCTTATGACACTGAGGTTCTTCCTTGGTTTAGATACCCCAGAAGTCGCATGGATGTTTACAACATGATGCAGAGAAATGACATGTTCATCACAGTAAGTCACTCGGATACTCATACAATGCTAATTACAATTTTTTTCTATATACCGTGGAGAAACTACCATTTCTAACAAACCCCACACTATATTTAGATATTTAGATATGTATATAGAAATGTATGTGTGTGTGTATACATATATATACATATATATACATATACATATATATACATATATATATATATATTTATTTATTTATTTATTTATTTATTTATTTATAATAAAATAATTTCCAGTTCTGCCACTGTTGTATACTTTAAAGATTTATAAATTAATCATCAGCACTTTTGTTGACTAATTTATGTTTTTAATTAACCTTTTTTGTCTATTATTATTATTTAGAAATTTGAAACTGGACTTAAAGATAATTTTAGGTTCTAATATTTAAATATTCATTTATATTTATTCAAACTTTGTTTCAAAATTAGTAAAAAAGAAAAAAAAAATTATTTTGTTTGCAGGCTGCAGCAATTACTGGACTCATAAGCCATGTCATTTGGGTGTGGCCACAGTGGGACAGCAAGGACCATGACCCAGCTGAGGACCATTTGGTCATTGACCTGAAAATGGGGTACACAAGGGTCAAGATGGAGACAGGCATGACCAGCCACGTCAATGATTTGTGCGCTTGCTGGAAGATAAGAGACTCCACAGATTTAGATTTTAAGAAAGAGGAGAGCCAGGGTTGGGAGTGTCATAGGAAAAATTTCACTGAAACTGAAGTAGAGGATGGTCCGCAGATTGACCATTCAGAGTGTTTGATTCAGGCGCTTGGAGTTATGGAGGTCATGGGGGAGGCGAGTGCGGCAAAATGGCTGCGGCAACTTCAGCCTATGTCGGTTAATTCAGGTCTTATTTTGGACATTGATGAAGATTTTTTCGGATGTTGGAGCGATATGTTTCCGTTGCAGCAAGTTGAAATCACTGAAGACAATGTTGTATTTTTATCTGATTCTGTAAAAGATTTATTCTGTGCCCAGACTGCCAAAGAGGAGAGTGTGGTTGATATGTTTTACCGAGCTATAATTAACTTCATTGTGACCCTAAAATCAAAGAGCTGTGAAATCATAGGGGAATTTGTAGGAAAGAAAGGGAAGCCCTGTTTAACAAGTGTGGCAATTAGCAACTACATCATTGAGAACATTCCGAATCTGATCCAGTTTTTCAAAGAGTTTGGAAATAAACACATTTTCTGTTACGAAGACCAAAAAGTGATAGGTCTTTATTTACAAAATCTTATGACCATCCTGCAAGATTTAACCATACCCCAGCTCCAATCCCTCTCAGAACTTGGTCTGTGTTTTCAGACCTCGCCGTCATCTCGTTACTTCTCCTCCTCCCCCCACATGCATATATGTCTCGGTGAAAACACACCTAAAAATACTCAAGTTAATTTTCACCTGCCATCAGAGAGCGAAATCAAATCTCAGACAGCAAGTCTGCAAAAAATATTCTCCTCGCTATTCAAAAGCCCAAATATTGTAACAGTTTGTCGATCTGTTAGAGACGGATATACGCCAAAGATTTTCAGTGCTCAGATTGAGTCAGCAATTCTTGGGAAAGTAGCTCAGGTGTTCAGACGTGTAGATCCTGAGAATATTCTGTTTGATAGTAATTTACTTGGTGGCAAGGCTGGGTGGAAGAACAGGAGCATGAGTTGGGACCAACAGCTGTTGGGGTATCTTTCACTCAGTGAGTACAGGGAAATAGATGGTTGAATTAGTTGTGGAACATCTTTCACTCAGTGAGTATAGGGAAATAGATGGTTGAATTATTTGTGTAACATCTTTCACTCAGTGAGTACAGGGAAATAGATGGTTGAATTAGTTGTGGAACATCTTTCACTCAGTGAGTACAGGGAAATAGATGGTTGAATTATTTGTGCTCTATCTTTCACTCAGTGAGTATAGGGAAATAGATGGTTGAATTATTTGTGTAACATCTTTCACTCAGTGAGTACAGGGAAATAGATGGTTGAATTAGTTGTGTAACATCACTCAGGGTATCTTTCACTCACTGGTTGTAACAAATATAAGGTTGAATTATTCATATAACCTTGAACTTAAATGGAAAGACCATGACCAGGCTGAGGACCTTAAACTTAAATGCTAGGAAGAAAATGTTAAAGATTTGAACTATATTTTAAAGTTGATAATCACATCTGGTTTATTTTCATGTTTTTTTATGTTTTGCCCTACATGCTTAGAAAAAAAACCACACACAAATTAAAAACCTTTCACCCATACAGAGAAATAGAACTACCAAACCTTTTAGCTGTATTGAATAAAAGGTAAAGATTAACTAGAATCACTAACCATTTATTAACAACCCTTGCATGTAAAATTTAAGTCATTGACAATTAAGATGTACACTGATAATGAGATTTAAATTTTGAGGCTTTTTTTAAAAGTGCATGTTTTTTTTTTTAAATCAATTTTTACAAGATATGTACTAATATTTTTTTTTACAATATTTTTTTTACATAATTATTGTCGTCAATTCCATGCAACTGAAGATTAAACCACATAATATAATGTACAGTTTATGTGATATTTTTTATAATGTAATTAATGAAGTTTTCAAATTCTTACTGAATGTTGACTGTAGTTTTTAACAAATTTTCTCAATTTATGTTTTCTATTTTAATATATTATACTATATTTTATGTTGTATGACTGTAATCTTAGTGTGACTCAAAATATTTTACCATACACTCGCCCTACTATTTTGTTTGCTCAATTTTCCATCAGAATTCTTTATTGTATTATAAGTTTTTTATGTGAGAAGATACTGCTGCTAACTCCTATAATATACATTCCTTTTGTGTTTTATTTATATTCTCATCTGTCACAAAATTTTGTTAGTTTATGTAAAAGGTAAAAAATTATATTTATACTTAACCACTACTGTTCCGTGTTTTTACACTTTATAATGAAACAATCATATACACGAAACCAGTAAATTGCATTTTACGTGATTTTTTTTTATGCTTATTGTTTTTGTCTCTTCTAGTTTTACCTTAGAATATTTAAAAGGTTGTATTATTTAACGTCTATCTAGGCTAATTGGTTGTTTTTTAACACGTTTTTATTAACTCAGCTTCGCGTGTGTTTGTTGTTAAAATTGACATCGAAAATTAACCCACTTCTGATTGCTCAATAGATCTGAAATTTGGCATGTAGGCTACTTTCGCCTAACAATTTCAGATGCAATCATAAAAACTAGCAATTAGAGACGGTAATTAGCTTAATTTAATTACGCCCCAAGGACCATAAAATTGAGGACATGATTTCTAAAGATACCGACAAGACTGGAGGCTTATAGACACAGTTACTTCGGCCCCAATCGATGTGAGCGCGCTGGCCGTGATCGTATAGTGGTTAGTACTTCGCGTTGTGGCCGCGACAACCCAGGTTCGAATCCTGGTCGCTCAAGATTTTTTTAGTCCGTGTATTTATAAACACTTAGTCAATTCATACTTAATCAAGTCATTAGATAAAGTAGAAAATAAACTATATAAAAAACTTTTTTAAAAACCACGTTTTTCATGTGTAGCAACGGACTAAAAAGGAGAAAATAAAATACTTAAAAAAAACTTTTTAAAAAACCACGTTTTTCTTGTGGACTAAAAAGTAGAAAATAACTATTTACATACATTTGATGACAAAAAACGTGGGTCGGGCAGATGGGTCGGGAAATTTGATGGTGAACGTACCCACGTTTTTTGTCATCAAATGTATGTAAATAGTTATTTTCTACTTTTTAGTCCACAAGAAAAACGTGGTTTTTTAAAAAGTTTTTTTTAAGTATTTTATTTATAGGCTTTTGATAGTAAATAAAATCTTAAGAGAAACAGTTCTTTTGTTTAACTATTTACACCTTGTTTAGAAACTATTATATAATATTTGTATTCACTGTACTGTAGAATACACTTCACCATTTATTGTGTGGTATGGTGTGGTCAAACGGTAGTGCGTATGATTCAAAACTTATAGCTTTGAGTTTGTATCCCTGGCATGTCTGTAAAACATCTGAGTCCACCCAGCTCTGATTGGTACCTGGCTCATGTCAGGGAAAGTTAAGACGGCTGGGCATAGTGCTGACCACACTATTCAATCATATGTTGAGGTTACAGAAACAGGTGAACTCCACTTTACCTGCACAGTCGACCACTAGATTTGAAAGGGAAACCTATAATCTGCCGTTTATTTTGTCGTTGTTAGATAACTCTATAAAAAAAAAATTCCCTAATCTTTACATTTTAAACTGAACAAATTATCTGTCATTTTTCATGTGACTTAATAGATAAAACAGCAGTCTTGGTTAGGAAATAAAAGGTATAAAACATGTAGGCTGGTGAAGAGGGGGTGCACATCCCTTGGCGTCACCCCTCTTGTGAATGTACTATCACTGGATGTTGGTTTTATCCCTTGTATAGGTCTGATAATGATAGGTCTAAAAGATAACATTTTTCAAGAATTGATTAGAAAATAGAGTAATGAGTACTCTATCTCTTAGATAAATGTTATCAGTTTTTTTAATACAATTAACACAATAGCAGTTTAAAATAAAAATATATCAACTCAACTAGAAAACAAACACAACAATTTATTTCGTTTCAATTTTTTCTTTCAAGACTAATTTTTCATAAGCTAATTAAGACGGCGTTTGTTTTTGTTTTTTTTTTGTTTTGTTTTTTTTAATTATTTTGAAATTTAGATGTTTTTAATCTAAATCCATAAAAGGGGAAGTTCCTCCATGAACAAGTAGGCCCTATTGTTGCAAGAAACAAAGAAACAGAAGTGTTCTATTTTTAACTGTACCCATGCGGCTTTTATCTGATTAAAGTTACAGCTTTTGACAAGCGGTGCTTCACACAGTTTGTAGGGGTCATCCATAAATGACGTCAAGCTTTTTCGACGATTTTTACTTCTTCACCGTCACATAAAGCCAGACCCCCCCCCCCCCCCTTTGAAATGACACCACACCTCAACCAACAACTCCTTTCAGAATTGCAGCTTTTTTTAAAACAACGATTTCTTTTTTAAAATATTGATTGAATTTCGAACAATATAGATTAGGGGGTCGTCGATAAATGACGTCACACTCGTAGGGGGGTCCGTAATTTTGATACGTTGTGATGACGGGGGGGGGGGGGGGTGGTTCAGATCGTGCGACGTCCCCTCTTTTGCATTATAAAAAAGCTATGTTCGGAAACTAATTTTAGACTTTATTTTGCGTCTTAGAAAACTGTTTTAATAAATTGAAATAGGAATTGATTAAAATACTCTATTTTGACAGGAGTTCAGACTTTGGAAAATATCGATGTTTAAAAAAAAATTCAACTGCAATTTTGAGGGGGGGGGGGGTTGTCGGCTGAGGTGTGACGTCATTTTACGGGGGGGGGGTCTGGTTTTGTGACGACGTGTGACGGAGAGGAGGGGGGGAGGTAAAAATTGTCCAAAAAAGCGTGACGTCACTTATGGATGACCCCTTATACTAATAAATTTCAAAAACTTTTTTTAAAAAAAAAAAACGCGAAATAATAGCTAAAATTCAGCTTTTAAAATTATTTCATTATTTTTTAAAATGCAATAACGAACCCGAATACCCCCCCCCCCCCCCCCCCCCACCCCTTTCATTGCGGTTACTCGCCTGTCTAGCGGACGTCTCGCAGAAAAGGTTGTTCACCAATGTGTGATCAAAAGTAATTCACCAGCTTGAGTTGGCCTTATAACCAAGTTATTTTTCTTCGTAATAATTTTTTAAGGTCATCTAAAAACACAGTCAAGCATTTTAAAACCATTTTGCCTTTCTCACCAAATTT